AGGGAGCGAGGCCCTGGGGCTGTGGGAGAGGCTGGAGGGGGTGGCGGCAGGGGGTTGAAGCAGAGGGCAGGGGCACGTGGGGCTGCCGGGGCTCGTGAGGTGTGAGGAGGAGGAGGCAAGCGAAGAAACAGGCTGGGGGGGGTGGGGGAAACAAAGGACACTGGGGAGGATAGAGGCTGGAGGGGGTGGCTGCAGGGGGCTGGTGCAGAGGGCAGGGGCACGTGGGGCTGCCGGGGCTCGTGAGGTGTGAGGAGGAGGAGGCAAGCGAAGAAACAGGCTGGAGGAGATGGGGAAAACAAAGGACACTGGGGAGAAAAGAGACCTGGTGGGGAGCCCAGGGGAGAGGAGGGGAGAGGAGAGAGCGTTAAGGATGCTGGGATGGTGGGGAGGAGGCAGGAGAAAGGGGGTGAGACTTGCGGGTTGGGGGATGCAGGGACAGAAAGGGAGGAGAGACAGGGAAGGGGGAGAGGCAAACTAGCATTGGGCAAACGTAGGAAATGGTGGGGTGCCTGTAAGGTGGCAAGGGGATGTCCTCAGCACCTGAAATGCTGCCTGGTTCCAAGCGCCTCTCTCAAGGCTGAGCTTTGCTCCTGGAATCTTCTATGCATTTCGGGGGCAGGTGACTTCCCATAAAGCCCCAACACCAGGAGGGGGTAAAAGCATGCCTTATTCCTAACTGAATTTTTATTGCTTTTTAAACCGAAAAGGGTTTTTTTGCGCCGTTCTGAGATATTATGGGCTCTGACTCATGCCTTGAATTACTTGTGAGCAGTACTGGGTGTGGAAGGAGGAACCAGAGGGGCGTGGGCCCTCGGAGAGGTAGCCTGTAGCGCGCGTGTCCTCTTAAATCCTAGGTCAACATTTGGTTATATTGCCAGGTATAAGCCTCCGTAGCCCTAGAAGCGCTGGCTTGATACAGCTTCTTATATCCAGTGGCTTTGATACCGCATGCATCTCGCCTGCTTCCCAGAGCTAAGTAATCACAGGGAGAGAAGTCACGGGGCTGATGAGGGGATGGAGACGCGAGGAGCCAGGGGAGGGTCGCTGCAGGGAATGGGATGTCGGGGAGGCAGCTCCGGCATCCAGCCAGGCTGGAGGGGAAGGCAGCGCTGGGTGAGCAGGGAGGCTGCAGCGATGCCCGCACCCCGAGGTTACCTTAACTGCATTCCTTCTCAAACCGAGGAGGGAGCCGGGAACCGCTGGCTGTGCAGGGAGGAGAGCGTTAGCTGTTTGGGATGGCCCTGGAAACAGTGATTTGCGTAGGGGCTTGGTTACAACCTTAATTTTGAGGGCACTGCTTGCTTCATCTGACTGTGCTTTTCTGCTGGTGCATTTTCCTTTGTCCTGTTTCCATAATTATCCTCATTTCAACCCTGTTATGAGGATTATTGGTCAGTAGGAAGCCTCCTAATGCCCGCTCCTCCTTGGCAGGGGAGTACCCATGCCCTCGATTAAAGTGAAACTCCCCAAACGGTGACAGAAGAAATTAGATCTATATTCCTCAAAGACACTCCCTCGGGCGAAGTTTCCCGACCCCCACCACGGCAGCACTGCCACCCTGCCCCTTGTGTTCGCTCTCAATATTCTCTTTGTTACAGCCACCTTTATATACGGCTCGGGGCTCCCCGGGGAAGGCAGAGGTGGTTTGTGTTGGAAAATCCTCCTGCCCGTGTCCCGGGTGAGCACACCGACCCGTCCCGCTGCAATCCGTACCCAGCACAGGCGGGATTTCTGTTCCGAAATTGGGGTGAGGAGCCAACTTTAACAGGCAGCGCTTGACACTAAAAGACTGCTTCCCCACGGTGCTGGGTAGTCTTTAGCAGAAGGCGGTCCCTCTCAGTGATTGATTTTTGAGAGTCCCTTGGCTGGTAGCTTAAGAAGAGCGTTTATTCAATCTATAGCCCGTATAAGATACTCAGAGCCCAACCACTAATAGCAACAAAAAGTACAGGTTGGGAGATGGGGTGTTCCCTTTGCCTTGCAGACCTCTGCCTGCACTCACAGGTGCGTGAACGCGCGTGAAAAAGATAAGTTAGCAGGTCGTTGGGATGTGCGGTGGGTTGCTGCTCAGCAGCCCGCTGCCTACCAGCTGGATGGCATCCATGCGTACCTTTTCGGAAAGCAGGCCCCGAAGGGACGTAGTCTGTGTATATATAGATATATATACACACACACACACACACATATCTATATGTGTATATAATATATATATTTTTATATATGTACAGCTGTCTATGCAACAATGGCATTTTTTCAAGGAGCAAGCTAAGCGACCTCCGGAAGCCTGGCCCTTTTTCAGCACCCCCAGCCATTCGAGCAGCCAGCGACTGCCTCCCATTAGCAGTCCCCGCTCTGGTGCTTTGTGCCGGAGCGCCGTTAGCAGCTGCCGGGTACCAAAGGCTGCCTTCCCTTCCCGCGGCACACCCTGCCAGCGCGAGCTGACACCGTTGGTGCCAGTCAGCTCAGAGGAGCACTGCTCCCCACACTTCCCACTCCCACCAGTCTGTCACCACTGCCGTGTGGCAGAATTACTGCCTCCTGCTCTCCAGCACATCCTAACACACAAAGAGCTGTGCTGCTGCTGCCAGCGCTCAGCTGCTCTGCGTATGCGGGAGAGGGAGGGTGCCTTGGAAAGGTCAGTGCGGGGAAGCAGGGCGATTCTGTCTCCTTCCTTTAGGGGCCGTATCCTGGCATCGCAGCAAAACCTCATCCTGCTGGCTGATCCGTGTCCGTGGGGACTGCAGCCAGCGAGGGTACCCCGCGCTGTGGGGCTTCCCAGGATGGTTTAGTACCATGTGCAGGTCCAAAGAGCTTCCTCTGCCTGTTCCCCGCCTAGCAAAATCATCCCAAATTATGAAAAATGGAATTTCTCAATTGGTTGTGACTCCACTCTGGACTCTTCCCTTGTTTTTGTTCCTGGCCCAATTTCACTGACAGCTTTAGCAGCACAACAGCAGCAGCCGCCACTGCCCTGGCTACAGCAGGATCCTCCCCTGAGCACTGTTTAATTTATCCCCCACATCCCCCGTGCCCAAGGCAGCCCGGGGCTGGAGCACCGCGACTCTGCCCCCTCCAACCGCATTAGCCCCGGGCCGATCTTGTCACCCCTGTCACCCATCGCTGACACTAACTCGACTTGCCTGCACTGTTGTAGGGGGCAGATGGACTGTCGGAGCCCGAGGGCATCTCTCTGAAACGCGTGGCTGTGGTGGAAGATTTCTTTGACATCATATACTCGATGCATGTGGAGAGCTCGTCGGAGCCGGGCAAAGCACCCAAACATGCCGGGCAGAAGAAAACCTACCGAGCGGTGAGACTCCCCCTTCGCGTGCCCCGGGCAGCGAGGGGACGGGAGCGAAGGGGCAGAGGGGCCGTGGGAGCAGGCATCCCGCGGGGATGGGGACGGGAGGGCAGGTAGAAGCAGAGCCGCTGGCGGGAGGCGGAGGCGAAGGAAAGTCCTGTTTGCCTGTGCGGGGAGGCGTGAGAAAGGAGTCGTTTGAAGGCAGAGCAGCTGTGCTCGGGAGACGGGAAACCAGGCTGCAGTGGCAGCACAACCGTACGGCTGCTCGGAGAGGAAAGACCAAGTGAATCATTCAAAGACAACTGTATGTGTCTGGGGGAAAAAAAAAAAGAAAAAGAGAAATGCTCGGTATTGCTGATGGGCAAGGGGACGTTTGCCCAGTCCCCTGCACGCTCTGCTCCATGCCATCCGCCTCCCTGTCTCCCTTGGCTGGAGGGAGGTGTCGTGCGTGGGCCTTGAAGGGCAGGAGCAGCCAGAAAGGGGACTGGAGCACGGCCGGAGCCCGCCCCTCTTCCCTGGCCCAGTGGATGCTCTCGCCAGCCCATCCTGGGTTTCCTCCATCACAAAATGGAGGCAGGCACCGAGCTAAGTCTCGTCAGGTGCTCCATGGATGCTGGGAACCAGCTCTATCCATCCTGAAACCACTCTAGTTAGGTCAGGAATAATTTAGCTTGTAGTCTGCTTCTCCAGGGAGCTCGCTGTTTCTCCTGACTCTGCACAGCCATTCGGTGCAAACATTTGGGCTCTCCTTTTACAAGAAGAGCTGAATTTACTGTCCAACACCGAGCTACTCCCTTGAATCCCACAGCCCTAAGGACCAGGTCGCTTAGAGACAGAAGTGGCTGGCTGGCAGCTCGTGTCTCTGGTGTATTCATCATCTTGGAGAGGTCTGCGCAGGCTGCCCTGGTCTCTGCGATGATGCCTGAGATTATGCAGGGCTGGGTGTGCTGCCGGAGCCGGCTCGGGGTGGAGTCTGTCCTGCCTGCCTGTGTCCCCAGCCGTCAGTAGCTCTGCCTGCTGCCAGTGCGGAGGGGCACCCCGGTGCCCTGCAGCCCCCCATGCGTGGTGGGAGCCCCCCGGGGAGCAGGGCTCTGTGCTCACCGCTCCTGGCATCGCTCCATGCCCTGCGCGCTCAACTCCAGCCCCTGCGGCAGAGCGTGGGGCCGGGGGCCGGGGCACACACTGACCCTCCCTGGCCGGGGGCAGGTGACCTCTTTAGAGTCGCGGGGGGGGGACAGGCCCGCCAGCACGACCGCAATTCAAAAACTTTCCGCTCATTTCCCCAGCAGACCACCCTGACCCTCCCCTAATTCCTTCAATTCAGCTCTCTGGAGGACTAATCTGTGCCCTGCACAGCCTCGGGGGAGCAGGCTGGATCCGTCTGTTTTCCCAGGCCTGCTCGCAGCAGTCAGAGAGCTTCACGCTCCACCCCTCCGTCTCCCTCTTGAGCTGAGATCATCACATTAGCAGCGTGTATCCCCTCCTGACCTGGCAGGACGCTGCTCTGGGAGGTGAAATGCTGCATAGCGCACAAAGGGACGCTGCTGGGCGGTCAGCTCGGGAGGCTGCCGTGTCCCCTGCCGCTTCTCTCCTTCTCCCTTTCCCCACCGTTTCTGATTAGAGGCACTGGAGAGTTTGCCCTTGTCCGTGACCTCCGGAGGGAGGCAATCAGAAAGGGAGTTCGGATGGGAGATAACTCATCAAGGAAGCTGTCTGCTCTGCGGAGCATCAAATCAGCTGAGAAATAACAACTGTATCAGTAAAATTAGCTGAACGTTTGCAGCAGAGACCGTGGGCTTGCTGGAGCGAAAGAGGCAGGGAAGCTGGGCACAGCCCCGCCGGCGGCACGAAGGGACAGTTCCCTGCCTGCACCACGATACCACGTTTGCCACCAGCAATTTTCAGGCCGCTAATCTCAGCGGTTTTGTGGGAGTCCCTAGCGCTTGTGTGTTGATAAATACTGTGCAGAGGCAAAGGCTGAGCTGGGCAGCCGCTTGGTCACAACAGCGCTCGGTGGGGCTGTAGCTAAATAGAAGGAGAATCCCAGGAGGACCAGGCACTGCATCCTCCATTTGAACGGCTGGGACAAGGTCCCCGCCTGAACTTTCCACCCATCTGGCATTAGCGTGCATGCAAAACCTCGGGCTCTGCTGCCGCTCAGTGGAGATAAATGTCTCTCCCTCCCTCCGCAGCGTCGGGTCACGGGGCTGTGTTTGCCATGATCAAGCAAACCCTCTGCCCTCTGCCCCATCCCACTTCTGTAGCATTATTTTATTCCAAGCTTAAGCATCACCCTTTCCTGTAGGATAGAAAAAATTCTTGGAATTTAGGTATTTATAATTTTTGTTAACAAAATAAGGTGGGAGGGTGATGCCTGCTGGCCAGAGGAGGGGGATCAGGACATCCTGGCTGCCCTCCTGGCTCGGGCCCATCACCAGCCGTCGCTCGCAAGGTGTCTGGTTGCAGCCCTGCTTCCCGTTCTGAGCCCCACTTCTGCCGGGCTCGCGGCCCCAAGGACTGGCACAAACAATTGAATTTCTGTCTGCTTTCTGACCCCACTTGTAAGTGCTGTGACCCCTCCTGGGGTCACGGCCCCTGGTTTGGGAACCGCCGTGCTAGGACAAGTCACTTAGACCAAACAGGATGGGTGAGTAACCGTAGGAACCAGCCCCAAAGTAAGAGGTGGGCTCTCCACCTCTTAATGCCTTCCAATTAAGACCAGATGTCTTCCTGGAAGATGTTTTGGGCAAACCACAGGCTCCTGGGCTGCAGGAGAACCTGGGTGAAGGTCCCTGACTTGTGCTACGCAGAAGGTCAGGCCCCGATTTGATGGTCTCTTATGGCCTTAAAGAAATCTACATTAAAATTGTCTCATTCCTTCTCCAAATAACCTAGTCCTGATCTTTAGAAATAGTGTAAAATTGCTGCTGGCAGGGATTAATTGGAATAACAGGACTCTGGTAGCCAGGCACCTTCTGTGGGTGCTTAGGTCTGGGTACAGTGTTTAACTTCAGGCATCCAAGTTTTAAATATTTATCCTTAGCTTTTCCTCCTCTGTAAAATACAACTATCCCACAAAGGTTCAGGAGACTTAGTTCATTACTGTTTGTAAAAATGTTTTCAATTCCCTAGATAAAATATGTCACAGAAGTGCAAAGTATTATTAACAGTAATTGATTGTCATTGTGGGAAAAAGTGACCTGCCCTTACAAAAGATTAATGGATTCTTCAGGTTACTGGTGTGATGGTAATTAACAATGCAAACAGAGCTGACGAGACCTTACTTTCTCATTTGATTCTTACACGTTGGTAGCTTCGCTCTTCCCAGACTCCGAGGGGGAACGGAAAGGAGTTTCTGGGAAGGAGCGGCTACGCAGGGAGTCCAAAGGTCTGTTCGTTTGCCTCTCGGTGCCTCCCCGACACACCAGTTACCCTCCCAAAATGCTCCTCTGTCAACAGCTGCTCCAGAGGGAGGGACACAGGGGTCCCAGGGCTGACAGGAATGCTGTGTTGCTGTGAGTCGTTGATGTCCTTGGCTAGGCTGAGCGGGCGCAGTGGGCGGGTGCTGGTGCTCTCCTGTGCCCTCCACCCGGCTCTCCCTTAGGCATTCTCCCTCGCCCAGGACATACAGCCGTCTCGTTGTTTTCCCAGATTGCAGAGACCTATGCTTTCCTCCCGAGAGAAGCTGTGACCAGGTTCCTGATGAGTTGCACCGAGTGCCAGAAGAGGATGCATTTCAACTCCAACGGACTGGAGCCCAAAGGTAAACGGGGATGAATTCTGCCAGCAGAGCTGACACAGCACTTCGTACCAGCATGGTATCACTGCTAGCTGCCAGGATACTGCCCCATCGATGAGAGATCTCTTTACCAAATGGTTTTCCTAACGTGTGTTATTTTTCACACCCTTTTATAGCCAAGCTGAAAGAACTGCTTAAAAATCTGCTTTATCCATCGCTGTTTTCAGCTTAGAGAGCAGAAGCGGTCCAGCTTGCTTTCCGAGCAGGCAGGCAGTTTCACTTCTGAGTTCACCTTCCCCAGTGCAACCCTACAAAGCTGGGGTCAAAACCACTTCAGATATGTCTGCAATCAGCCCATAACTGTGGGGGGGGGTAGAAACTTGGATTTCTGAACAAAAAAAAAAGACCTAGAGTTTTACCTTTAAACTATTAAATTAGTAATGAAAGACACTGAATAGGCCTGAATAACTTTCTGATAAAGAAGTAATTTGCAGTAATTAATAGATGTGCAAGTCATGATCCTGTTTTTGATAAGGGGAAGTGTTTTGGTAATCAAGGTTCCATTATGCCTATGTATACAAGCAATTAGCATGGCCATTGTGGTGGTTGCCTCATTATGGTTCTGTTTACAAAAGAACAGCTCCTAGGCCTAGAAGATAAGCAGTCGGTAAGATGGGGCAAGGTGTTCTTCCAGAGTAAATGGTTAAAGGTGATGTTTGTGTGGTTTTTTTCTGAGTTACGAACTTGTTTCCATGATCGAGTGCAAAGCATCAAACTGACTCTGAGAGGTTTCACCCAACGAAATTGCTTTTTTTTAAAAACCATAAGCAAACTGCAGAGAGTCGGACTATTTCAAAACTGTTAAGGCAAACAGGCTCATTTGGCAGCTCTTATCAAGCAGAGGAGCAGAATTAAATGAGCAAAGGACCTGACAGTAGAGAAACTCCAGTATTAAATACTGATTTCCGACTGTTTACTGGTAGGAGCAGAGCTACGGACGGCCCAGAGGTTCCGTCCAAGTGGATTATGTGTGCCAGCTATCCAAAGCGAGTGACTGACGTGCTTTGTACTTGTTTTATTTTTTAGAAACTCTCCCAAATGATCCTATGTGACATTTATTAGCCCAAGCTCCATTACCGCGGCACTTCCCTCTCTGCCAACTGAGGACCCGATCCCTCTTTCCAATTAGGTCAAGAGAATTTTCGGCCTTTGGCCTCACTGGGAGCAAACCCGACCTCTGCACTGGTTGCACCGCATCCATCACCAGTGACACTCCCAAGTACTGCGGCCGCAGCAGTCGGCTCAGTGGACGGGAAGGGTGATGGGATGAGAATCAGGCCAACAAGGATGTTGCCTGTTGGCTTGACCCAAAATGGGACACTTGACTATAAACGCTTGCCGCTTGCCGAGCCAGGATCCCTTTTCAGGAGGCAGCTGATGAAAAGGGTCATTGTTCCTTCAGGGGCTCCCTCCTGCCCACCCACCACCTTCACGTCCCCCGTGTCTCCCCCAGCGACACGGCACCCATCCTGGCTCAGAGGACACCGGGTGCTGAGTGTCCTCCCCAGAGCAGTTCTAGCTGTGGAAACCGTGATCAGGGCTGAGATGTGACTGTCCTGAGCAAATTTATAAATTAATATAAATTATAAACTATTTTCATAATTATGAATTATTTTCATAAAGCTTTCCCCCTTACCAGTTCTCTTAAAAATTGATCAAACAGGAAAACAAAGGATCCTGCAGATAAAAAGTCCTGCTTCTTACCCACCAGAGAGGAAGGCCAGAAGTGCCTTTCTGCCCTGAATAGTACCTAAATAGTGACTAAGTACCTGTGAAAATGCAGGGAGTAGATTAGATAAGGTAACTTTTCCTGGGGAAGAGTGCCTGATTTCACCAATACATATTCAGGAATTTATCGGGTGCAAATCACCTAAAAAACCATCGGGGTGGTAGAAGAATTACCTGGGTGTGTGCGCATGCGAGCACACCTACGAGCAGATGTAGGTGAAGTTTAACCCAGCAAGATGAAAAGTTTTGAGTCATTCCCATCTCTTCCTACTTCTCAGGTCTATTAAACAAATCTCAACACTTGTCATTTGTGATCACAAAAATCCCTAATTAAATGTATCCGACATCAAACCCTGCCGGGCACTCACATAATTCATAAAAGCAAATGGTCTTCCTCCTGGGAAACTTGGAATGTCCCTGGACTTTGTGGTGATCTCTTTATGCTGCTGTTCAATCAGGAGTAATTCCAGTGGCGTTCTACAAGTGGGGAATTAGGAACAAAACCATCTTGCTTTAAACCGTACAGCCTGTCCCATCTGCATGTCCAGCACGTGGGGCATGTGATAGAGAGAACTTTTTGAAAAATGAGCTAAAGGATTCCAGGAGCCCCCTCTTGTGACGTAGGGGGTGAGGATTGTTCCCGGAGTCCCCCAGGCCTTTTAAAACAAAGGCTTGCTTTCTTTTCCAGTGAGCTTGGAAGAAGCAGGGGTTGGTTTCTTAGGCTGAAGCTCTTATCTGCTGCAGTTGCACAAATTCACAGTAAATTTGGGGCTGCTAATGGGATTATTCCAGATTTACATCGGGGTGGTTTCCGGCAGAATCTAAGCACCAAAAATCATCTGCCTCCCTCTTCCTCCCCATGTGAGGATGCTGAGCTGCTTCTGTTGAGCCTCCTTCATTTCTGCAGCGCTGAACTATTAAGTGGGGGATGGCAGGCGAGCAGCGCATCATCCTCGGATCATCCTCGGAAGGCTCACCTCATCCACGCCTGTGCTTGAAGGGGAGAGCAGCTCTTAGCAAATGCTTTCCTGAACTCTTTTTAAAGACTCAAACACTGATGACCCCAGCCACCCTGGGTAGGGGGCAGATTTTGTTCCTGGGAGCTGTTTCCCCTTTCAGCGCAGAACCTGACTGTGAGAAGCACCCCTTGGGCTGGGATTTCGGCGTCTTTTCTTCCCAAGATAACAACCTTACAGTGTAGAATAATGGGCTATTGCGGGTATGTAATAGGTAGAGGCGTAGAACTGCTCTTAATTAATCTATAGGTGGAAGCATGGCAGGGACCACTGATACACAGCCATGAGAAGGGAGGGCTTGGTTTGC